TTGCATTGCTTAGCAACTAGCCGATTATCGACTAATTATTTTGTAGATAACTTTCAGATGCCTATTAATGGGTCCATTTATTAATTGCGTGTATGCGTTATTCATACCACTTTTTATAAAATGAATTAGATTTTTAAAATTTACGATAATGTAACAATTAATAAAAAATTATATAGCTTTTTGGGTATGGCCAGTGTGTACCAAAATAGGGCTTTTTCACACTTGTGGCTAATTTTAAGATAATGAGGGACATGTTATTATTGACTTTTAGAGAAAGTGATATGTTTATTTGTATGCAGAGATGAAAAATAATTTTTTTTAACATTTCACTTAGTGGGCCATCAAAATTTGGTGAAGAGTCAAAAACGAATTTTTTTAAAAAAATGTATCATTTATGAGAATATTTTTAACATTAATTTTTATTAAAAAAATTATTTGGGTAGCATTTTTACGAAGAACTTTCATTTTTAATTTTAAAAAATCAATAAAAATCATGATATTAAATTTTTAGTCTTTCAAAAAATTCGTCTAAATAAATTAAGACTGGGAAAAATTACCCCTACCCCACTCTTCTGTTGCTGGTACAGCCATTTCTTATTTATAAATTCAAGCAAGGTAAACCCAAGAAACAATTGAAATTTAAACAACAAAACTATTGATGACTTTGATAAGCCATTAAAAGCTGATGGGGTTTCCACAACTCGTTGTAATAGGGTCAAGTGTTATTTATTATCTGTGTCATTGTGTTAACAACGATGACATCGCAGAGGCAACAAACAATGGACTTTTATGGGGAATGGACAGTAAGATCGTCGTAATTATATATGGCAGCAAGTTCAAAATCCTGCACTTCACTAATTCGGCACATGAAAGTATTTGATAAAATCCCGTGTATTCTAAAATATTATATTTTACAAAATCTAGATTTAAATCGATCATATTGTTAATAGTTTTCCAAGCAGATTAGCCAATTAATTGGTTATACAAAACTCGATTAACGGTTATTAGCAAAGTCACCCATTGTGCCGAAACTGTTTAGTTTTCGATTATCAGGGCAACCTTATATTTTATACTTAAAAAAACATATCGATCATTACAAATATAATTCATGAGATATATTTTTTGAAAATAATGAGTAATGACTTTGTGCAACTGTTGTCGACATTTACCTGTTTCACTTATTAATTGAGTGTTAAAATACTCAGTAGGACTTTCATCAGCCAGTCAGCACCTGAAATAAAATATTTTTAAATATTGAAAATACCACGGACATAAGCAAATTTATGCATCTTGCTAAAACAAATAATTACACAAAATGCGCATCAACTAAACATTTTTATATTTGTAGAAATTTCTATAGTTTAATTTGGCTAACATTTACTTCAGCAATCAGTTGTATGTTTATTACATACTCCTTATAGCTCGCTAATCAAATAGCGATGGCAATGCTTGAACTTTTTATCTACTAAAATTACTTGACAAAACATGTTTTAAAGTAACGAACTTGATAAAATCCAAATTATTGCTACCCCCCCCCCAATTTTCGCGATAGTATATTTTTTAACGCCTCGGTACATTATTAAAAATTCAATTTCACCCCCCCCCCCCATTTTTAAGCACATATTTTTTTAAATCATACTTAAATTGAGACTATTTAATTTGAGAAAACTTTTCTTACCAAACGAATTCGCCGCATTTTTAAGAAATTCAATTGCCAAGTTATCACGAGATTTTTTTCCCCACTAATGGCACCATACTTTAAGCCAATAGAATTATATTGATCGATATGAAACATGTTCTGGTTCTGGTAATGTTTCATTGCTGTATCCATGTACTGGCATTTTGCAATGGTTGGGGGTATGAAGTTGCTATTCTAACAGCTCCTTGCTGATGCCAGGACAGCCCTAAAGATTTTGACTGATGTCGAGTTCACAGTGGAATCGTTTCGGGTGGTTCCATGCTCTTCTTGTAAGCGGGATTGGGAAGAAAGAGTGTTGATACTGTACTGTATTGCACTGAGGCACATTGAAGCATTTGCTATTTTTTCAGGTGTAACTGCTGATGGGAATGTCAGTGGTGAAGTCCGTGTTCAGTGAGCGTTTTGCTCTGATTAGTCTACTCGGCTTCTGTGAAACAAATATTATGTTCAATAAGTGAATTGCTCTTGTTCTATATTTTGTATAATATTGGTGAACTTAATAATAAAAATGAGTAGGTAATACTCTTTTGCCACGCGGACATGGTTCTATTTTGCTTGGTCCAAGTATGTTCCGGGTGCGTTATTTTTTCGGGTATTTGAGCCAGTACCCGGCTCATTATTATCTATTTTCCATTAAATCTTTACAATTCTTCGTTTAGAACGCATTCAACCTCACCAAATACTCCCGCAAAAATGACGTCATCAAAGCGATCAGTCAATTGAAACACGGGGAAGGAATTTACACGGATACAAGCGTGGGCATCAAACACATGGACGAGGTCCAGATGTCAAACAACGCGGTCAGAACTGGAATGGTCAAGGTCGGACTGATCATTACAGACGGCAAATCACAAGAGTAAGTGCCAGCAACATGTGTCCAAACCCGTCAATATCAAAGACTATAATAGTTTAAAAATGCAGGAATTCTCATCGAAATAAAATATTCTAATTTTATACAAATCCTCAGCAATTCTCCTATTAGGCTACAAACATTCACATCTGCCCTACTCTTTTAACTAAACTCACTCCATACTATATCCAGTTTCGGTAAAACTAAAATGGTCGCCGACGCTGCCATGGACCACAAGATATTGATGTTTGCAGTGGGCGTGGGAAATTCAGTTAACGACAGAGACCTGCTGAACATAGCAGGTCTACCCGGCCGTGTTTTCAAGGTGAAAAGCTACAATGATCTCACTCTTATCACAAAGTCCTTGGCTTGTATGAGTAAGTAACATTTGAGCTATTTCAACGTTCAACGTTTGATTACCATTAAGCAATAGAGACACAGGTGTGATGCACGGTAAAGTAAAGAGGATTGGGGGAGGGTGGTCCTCTGATCAAACGAAATAGAAAATTTCGAGTTCGATTGAGTGTTTTTAAACTGTGATAAGAGCAGGATGCCAAAAGAGCAGTATATCATCATTGCTGGTTGCCACCAGAACATGGGGACACCCAGAGCAAAGTGCCATTAGCAAGTAATTCATCAAAGATGGAAGACTCAAATCCACTGGAACTTCCGAAAGGGGGGGGGGGAGTGGACACTAATGGTTTACCGCATTATGTGATACCAACTCAAAGGAGTCTAGTGTTAGAAAGTAATGTGTTTGTCATTTGTAGCTCAACTATTTTTGTAATCACTTTGTAATTTTTTTTAAATTTTAATCGCAGTTATATTGTGATTTATCTTGAACCAATCCAAGTCAACTTTTATTTGATGATTTTGCATACATTATATTATAAGAATGAAAACTTTTGGTAATGCGCATGCAATGGAAGCTGGAAGACACAATGATTCATGACTTTCACTCTTAAATGAATATATATTTGTATGATTTTTATTCACAAAGGAGGATTAACATTAATTTTGCAATCGTCCCTCCCCAATTTTGTAATTCCCTATGTAATAAACATAAGTTTTTATTTTCTGATTCGCTTACATAAAATAATCTCTATAATATTTGAGCCTCGTTGATCTTTTAAATTAAATCAACACAACTTTATATATCACTTTGCAAAATATTACTGAGAAATGTGTAAATGTTTGCATCTTTTTTCCTATATTTATATTGCAACGGACATAAAACACCTGCTGCGTGGATCAGTTTGGCGCTTTGAAAAATCTAGTCCTGCGTTTGAACTTTCACAACTTGCCACCATTTCATTACAAAAAAATCAATGAATTATCAAAATTAAATTAAACTATTTAAAAATATTATGTGTATGAATATTTATTTTAGCACAAATAAAAAAGCGAAAATGAATGGAATTTTTTTACATTTTCTAATTTTTCTAAAATTAATATACATGTATATATTTCACCACCGTCTATTCTTACACCCGGCCCATACGTTTTGCGGTTTATTAATTATTATTAACCAAAAAAAACAACAATAATTTAATAATGTATTTAAATTTTGAAAACAAAAATAAATTATGTAAAGCTATAAAGGCAGGATATATTTATTCTAATAAACTTTACTCAGTTTTTATTTAAAACAAATTCGTATATTTATTGATAGAAATCAAAACCATCTTGGTGTTTAAAATAAACGTGATCATATCGATATTTCTGAGAAAATTAATCATCTTTAAGCTGTTTTTTTAAAAAAAAGGAAACTCTTTTGTTATCCTAAACTTTAAAAAAACATTTTTTAAAAGTGGTGGGTACATGAACTCAGTCTAAGATAGGTAAAGATTATTTTAAAATAGGAATCATATCTTCTTACATATCCCATTCTCAAAAGTTCTTACTCCATTAACCTTAGCTAAACTGCCTTTGTCATTCATAACATTTTAAAACCATGAATTTACTTGTTATATCTCAATCATCAGAAAATTGAGAAAAATCCTTTTAAAAAATAATTTAGTAAAATTAATGAATATGCACTTGTAAATTTTATGAACATTCGACATAATTTGATTAATTCTTTTATGTTATGGCGATACAATTACATTCAAACTGGACCTGCATACGAATTTTCTTACATT